CAACAACAACAACAACAACATCATCATCATCATCATCATCATCATCATCATCATCATCATCATCATCATAGCAGCTATATTGAAAAGACTAGACCACTATTTTACAATGGATATTTTGATACAATATTATTTGTATAATGAACAATCGGCATAGATTTCCAATTACTATGAGATAATATTCAAGTTATTAATTTTAATTTTAAACAATACTAGACATATGCACGTGAGTGTTTCTCCACCTTGGTATGGCTTAACTGTAATTTAAAACAGCAGAAGAGACATTCTTAAAGATAGTCCTGATGTCAAGAGATTGTTTTGTTATCACTAGGATTTATACTTTATTGAGGATGGGCAATAATTTTTTTTTAAAGTCATTGAATATTAATCTGAAAAAAGCACTATAGTGGACTTAAATCAAAGACTAGTTATTTTACCTGTAAAACCACAACTCTGATAAGATGAGGTGCAAAATTGCAGAGGGCACCTGCAAGAACTCCTCCAGCACTCATGCTCCTTAAGGCTGTTTGCATAGGCTGAGAATATCCAAGTTCATGCAATAACATGATGCAGGCCTGGAGGTCTTGGATACCATTGTGTTTTTTCATCATACAACCATCTTTGTGCCATCTCAAGCCCAATTCTCCTCCACCCCTGGCAATTAAAATAAGAGTAATAACAGCAAAAAACATGAGGCATTTTATTCCCATCCTAATATTTATCCAAGAATATTAAATACATATATGATTTCATCAGAAATGCCTGTTTTAAGTGTTTATATTGTTTAAACATTAAAACAAGGAAATAATAATCAGGTTGGCTTGAATATGGCACTGGTCATTCTCTGTTTCTGCAAATGGAGGACAACATGGCATTGTTTTCTTCTTGGATAAGAAATTATGCCCCTTGGTATCAGTACCAAAAAAGCCATGGAGCTTGTAATTCTCAACATATTGCTCTTGGTGGAGAACACACATTCTTGCAAACCAACTTATCACATTGCTCCTTTTCGTGATAAACAACATTACAGAAAGAAGTATGAAATGGTACACAAGTAGAATATTCTTTATTGAATAGAATATTCTTTATTGGCCAAGTGTGATTGGACTCACCAGGAATTTTTCTCCGTTCCATAAGCTCTCTGTTTGTCTCATACAAACAATGAAGTGTTAAGTCATAGATCATCAATCATAAGATACAATCATAAATCATAAGATACAAGCAACAAGTGATAAATCATAAGATACCAATAGGAAAAGATAGTAGGAAAGATGAGAAGGTGAGAGACACAACAGCAATACAGGCCTACTACATGAGTAAATATTTTTAGGCATAAGACTGTGGTGGCAGTTAGGTATTGAGCAGAGTGATGACATGCGGGTAAAAACTATCTTTATGTCTAGTTGTTTAAGCATGCAATGTCCCATAGCAGTCCCAAGGGAAGAAATTGAAATAGTTTATGTCTGGGGTGTGAAGGGTTTATAGATATTTAGTCAGTCCTCTTCCTGGTTTATGCAGTATACAAGTCCTCAATGGAAGGCAGGATGGTTGCCTTTGTTTAAGTAATGCACAAACCCAAGAGAGCATGAAAAACATAAACAACTATTAGATATTAAACAGAACCAGATATATAAATGTGCCAGTTGGTATTCTATACAGCTTTCCCCCTTTGCCCAATGCAATTTTCTTATGCTTATTGAGTTTTCTACACATAACTTTGTGACTACAATGTTAACAAATCAGTTCTCTGAGCTGGATCCAAAGGTGCTGATATATTTTTGGGGATATACGTAATCAGTTATAAAAATAGAGTAAATCACTATTAATATTTGAATAGAAGTTATTAAAGGAGTGAATACATTTATAACTTAAAAACACATACATAATTTTATTTAAATAAACTATTTAAATTTCAAAGTACTGTTTTAGAACAGGGCATAGATAATCTTATTTTTAATACATTTACATTATGGCATTCTAGTATGTCTTTTAAACTGAATTAAGGATTAGATATTCTGAAATATTCTAAGCATGCTAATATGAGAATGTTTTGTTAAAATATTATGTAGTTTTTAAATTTTAAAATACATGTGGATAACATTTGCTTTGGCATTATTTTCCTTCACTTTTAGAATAATGTAAAATAGCTGAAAGTTTACTATATGGTACTAACCACAGTATAATTTTCTTCAGTAAAAAGAAAGTACAATAGAATTTACTTGATAGACTATTGTATTTAAAGGATAGCAAACATATCATTTACAATTTCTGTCCTTAGCTGAATATAAATTATTCCTATGAATGTACGTTAGATTATTTTTTAGAAATTAAAGACTTAGAACTAAACTGTGTTCTGATGAAGTTAGAATTCATACAAAGAACATATTATTATTAGCAAATAATTATCAGCAATAATGTATATTACAAATAATTGGCAACACTGGCAAAAACAGTTATTTATGGAAAATATGTGAACGGAATAGAAATGTTGTGGCTGGAGGAGAGAGCTAAAACTTTATGCAGTAACAGCATTAGGCACAAACATATTGACAATGAAATATTAAGAACAAGCAAAAAAAGTTTTATAAGATTACAGACTTACCTAACATGACAAAAAGCTAATATCCATCCATCTTTGATTAACATTAGATTCTCTGCTTTAAATGTCATGTTCAAATCTATTCCATAAGCTCCATAGACATGAACCAGAAGTGGCATCTTGTGCAGCTGTGTAGAATTGTTTTTATAAAAAACTGTAATTGGTACCCAAGTTTCATCCTGAAAATGTGGGAACATTTCAGAATAAAGCATATTTAGAAATTTGCAAATTATAAAATCAAAAGAAAAGTTCAATTTTCAGTTATCCTAGCATTCTTTGATATTTTGTACAAAATGCTCAGAAAATAAAAAAAAATAAAGTTGGGATTGCTTTAGGATTTGTTTACCAATATAGAGCATAAAGCTCATTAAATACAACTCATGAGAAGTGTATAAAACATGAAAGCAGCCCGTTCCTCCTGCACCTTCTGCATTGTGATCTGAACAGCTTTACACTCTTCAAACTGAATATAGCAGAAAACATAAAAACTTAAATGTCTGCTAGAATTCTCTGCTATATGACTAAAATAAAACAATAGGTTGCAGCATTATTTTTCTTATTTCATGAAAACTTGTGCCTCACCTGGGAGATTATTATCATATAAATTAACATTTGTATATTATATTTTAACACTTGCTTTCTTTGAGGGGAATTTTTCTCCTGACAGCAAGGAAAATAAGACCATTTCATTTCAAGCCAGGCTTATTGGGAAAAAACATAACAACTTTGCCTTCATGTTTCTTAAAAGTAGATCTTAGAAAAAGAAATGTTAACCCTTCGGGCAGCAGAGAAACAGCAATAGCTCTACTGATTAAGGATTTTTTAAAAAAAATTTCATTCCAAGTCCTGTTTACAAGAGGCTAAGAAGACAAGAGCTTACCTTGCTCTTAGCTTCTAGACGTACAGTTTTATAATTTTCTGTAATTGGTACTTCTTGCTCAGTAAATTCAATAAGGCTCTTTTCCATCAATGAATATGCAAAACGAACTGGAGACTGAAGAGGAGACATGAGCCAAAAATAGCAAGTGTTGGCAGTATAGTCAGAATTAGGTTCCAATTCTAGTGAACAGGCCCAAGCAGGTAGCTAGAAAACAACGGAAATTATTAATATTTGCCCAGTCTTATAATTGTTTTTCTGATGAGCTATATGCTGTAGTTTCCAGTCTGATAATAGAATTTGAATTTCTTACTGGCCAAGACGTGCTTCACATACCCCAGTAAAAAGCTAAGTTGGTAGCAGGACCTCACTATAACGAGTACAACAATTCAATTATTTTCCCTAAAAGCTGCTTAAATGGCATTCAATAAATAAAGCAAATGGAAATAAAAATATTTTGAAATAATCAGAGGGGGAGGGAAATATTAGGCAATCTCACTAAAAGTGATATTGGGTCACTAAAAATACAATTAAAATGCATGATTTATCTCTTACAAGATTTCTCCGTGCACTCTTCTATGTTATCAGAAAGTTTAAAAAATTTTCTTCCTGCCCCTGTCTGTTCTTTCATTCTATCCAACTTGAAACCCAGCCAAGTCAGTGTCTGTTATTGCACTGAGGCCTTGCACTGGCTTTGGGGTGCTCAGCCACTTACAATCCTTGCCTCTGACTCTGTTCCCAGCGTTAGCCATTGTGAAGAACAAAATTATTTTTTTGGCACAGCTACATTCGGAAACTCAGGGCTATTATGTTTTAAGACTTAACACTTCTAGAAATGAAAGGAATCAAGATTCATTCTCTGAGAGCAGCAGGGTCTCTTACCCACTGCTTACTTTCTTTTAAGAAGTTCTGGTTACTGGGTTGATAAAGGCTTTTGGAAATTGAGGCAGTCAGAGTCAAAAAGCTTTACACAGAAAAACTGCACTCTGTGTAATTGATTAAAACCTGAAGAGGATCAATCTAAAAAGACTAAAAAAAACCTTATAAAATGGGCACTATATTTAACTCGACTGCTACAATTAGCAAAGTAGAGAGTGTATAAGCTTACCATCTTATTTCAATCATGCTAAGTGAAATTTAAAATATTTGCAGATAACTGAATAGTAAGGCAGGAGTTAACCTATGTTTTCAAAAGAGCCCTTTCATTTTTAAAGTTATAGAAAACCTGACTAAGTAAGATGATGCTCTAGACAAAGAAATATAATGGATTTTAACTGATCCAGGTATTACCAAAATGCTTTGTTAATTAAAATGTTTTTAATCATGATTTGTTTATAATCCTGTGCAAAACTTCTACAATTTATTATGTAAAAGTTTTATAAATCTAAGTCCACCAAGGTTTCATCTTATGTTTAATGTATGATAATATACTATTATTTATTTTGTTTTTGGGTCACATATACATGTGCAAGGGAACACATTGCATTATGGATGTGTGCGCGCATGTGCCGCTTTTGACACTTGGCACCAAAAAGATTAGCCATCACTATAATATATCAACAGGTTATTTCCCAAAGTCTCCTGTGTTGAAGGTTGACAGTTCTAATTTCAGAAGTTAGATACTTAATATTTAGAAATGCAATGTGGGATAACTGCCTTACTCTATGAACCAGTGGCCTCTAATTAGCAGTGTGTGTAAAGGATACTTTAAAAAAAATTATTATTCTTTGAAAATCTTTGAATAAATACAATTTACCTTACTCTAAATTTACTAAAAGAATTCATTCTGAAAATTATTTACATGTAGTAATTTAAATATTTACCTTAACATTTTCAACTGTATTTGATACCAGAGAAATAATATCCAAATAGATCTCACCACCAAGTTTTAGAAAGATCACACAATGATCTCTATACATATCTAAGTCGATTAATTTGGTGTTTTCTTTTACTGTGTAAATGGGCTGCCAATTCTCCAAACCACATGAACCAACTGGAGCTTTCATCAGCTATAAAACAAAGAATAGTCTGCATACATATATGAAAAAAATAAAATTTTCCAGCATAGCTTAAGATATTCTGGAGAGAGAACTAGCTTAGATTTTTCTCATCTGAAAATAAAGAAATGGAAATACTCATTTTCATATTTTTCAGAGGAAAATGAACATGCTCTCTTTTGTATATCTTCTTAATAGGTGCAAGTCTATGCTTGCTAAATTTTGAGGAATGAAATAACTATCACAGTAACACATATTTTTCACCATTGGCTTAAGTATCAGTTAGAAATAAAAAAAATCCAGCTGAGCAATGCTGTAATTCTTTCCCACAGTTTTTTCCAAAGCCTCTACACATCTCAGCAGGAAAGATAATAAAAAGATGAAATCGAGGTCATACGGATGTAAGCATTATGGGGAAAAATGATAGAATTTTTGTTTTAGAGACAAGCTGTACAGTAAAAACAAATGTAATGATTACTTTGATAGATTTATCCTAGCCACATATATCTCAAAGTTTGTGTTTTTGCATGAAGAATTTAAATAAAATGATCTTACAAATCAATGTGATAATTGGGCGTATTTTAAAAGCATATATAGGAAACACAAACATTAGATCCAAGATTTGACTATGAAACCAACTATAGGTTGTTTTTTCTTGCAAATTAAAATAAGCGAGCCAGTATGGTGTAGTGATTAAATTATTGGATAATGGACTAGGAATGGTTATACATAGTTTCCCTTAAACGTGGAAGCTAGATGGGCGTCTCTGGGCCAGTCTTTGATAACTAACCTGAATCCATTATTCCATCCATCCTGTAGTGGAACAGCAATGAATTGATTTGAGCTAATAATAAATTATTAGAATATATAATGTGGTTGTTTGACTGAACCAAGATTTCTAGTTCCCATACCTTGTACCCCACAGGGTTACCATATGTAGTAGGAATATATAGCTCATTATTTCGATGTTCAACATGATAAATGATATTTTTGGTTCGTTTCTGGACAAGAACAGGAGATTTAAAAGGGTGATGACAGTCTACCAACCATACTTCAGAAGTGGTCTTGCTATTACTATTTATAGTAATAAAATGTTTATCCTTTGTGCGGTAGAGATCTACAAAGTACCTTCAAACAAAGAACACAGAGACAATAAAATAAAATAAGATGTCATGATGTAATAATTCTTTGGATAGCTTATTGCATGGCTCACATTCAATTAAAATACAACATAAGATCTTCTTGCTTAAAATAATATAATAATAATATAATAAACTTCAGCCTGCTTTGAGATGATGCCCTTCAACTAAGGGCAACATAAGTGACTTCAACTAAGTGCTGATTAGGCATGAAATCCTATGATCTTCACTACCGGTTTGGTGCGCACTTGCTTGCGGCACTTCTACGCAAGCACAGAGCGTCGGTGATGATGTCTGGGTTGGTGGGTGGAGCCACCCACTGGCACCAATACCAATTCACCCAAATAGGGGGAAACCGGCAGAACATCACCTCTGGTGCTGATAATGTTACCTGGTTTGGATAATGAAACATCTTCAAGAAAACACCCAAGCTCAGAGAGCACCAAGGATTCTTCGTTTAACTCTAAATCTCAAGTATTCTCCTTTATCAGTAAGTCACTTGTTTTGGAGCAGCTCAGAATTTAGTAAGAACCAAGATTTGGTTCCATACATGAGGCAGGATGCACAATTGTTTAGGAGTTTTCAACAAGGATGAAAGCAAATTGTGGAGAAGGGAGGCTTAAAGAATTCTGTGACAGGTCAAAAGATGTAGAACTGCTGGCATTCCTAATCTTAACAGTTATGGAGGTTGTGCTGAAATGATTTAATCTGAGGGAAGATTGGATCTGAAAGAATATTTAAAATGCCTTTCTTCCCTTTAGTTCTTGTTTTTATCCTGATAAATGTAAGCTATAGCTTTTTGTTGTACTTAGCAAGGAAAAATGAGATGAGAGAGAGCAGCTAACTATATCTGACTTACCTTGCGTCACTTTCTGTATACACCAATTCAGAATGCTTTTTATTAAAATCAGACAAGTATACAGTATGACACTGAAGATTCTTTTGGATGGTATAGAACAGAAGCTCATGTGTAGCCCATTCTAGACAAAAAAGAAAGTTTAATTTTTTCTAAGGTATCATGAGGAATTGTATTGAATAAATCCAATATAAAACAATAAATTGGGAATGAACATATGAAAAATTGCATGCATGCACAATTCTAGAGTTAACTACTGATTAAGATTAAGTTTAAAATGAAAAACAATAAGAGACTAATTCAGGGTTTTTCCTCCCAAAACTTCCTTTCCTGCAAAATCACTGTGCAGTAAGTACCACTGTGTAGGATGCGTTTCTTTCTGGACTGCAACTGTCAGTCTTTATATTTCTACAAGTCCCCAAAGAACAGTATTTTATGACTGAAAATAAAAGATACCAATATCTAGCACATCCATTGCAGCTTTTGAGTTGTATGAATTCCACTATTATGATGGCCTATTAACATCTGTGGCATCTCTTGAAACTGTCACAAACTGCTTCCCCCCCCCCCCCATTTAAGCTTTGTAGTAATTGTTACTGCTTATAGTTTTTGTATATGATTTCTCTTTAAAATGCCCTTCCCAATATGTACATATGTTTCAGTTTAGGACATTTTAAATATTTAATAAAGTGGACTGAAATCCAAATATAATAGGACAGTGTGAATGTTGGATTAGAATTAGGAAGAACAGGGTTTAAATTTCCACTCAGCCATGAAAATTCAGTAGATGACATTAGGCCAGTTGCTACATTTCTATCCAACCCAATTCACAGTGTTGTTATTAATGGCACAAAATTGGAGAGTATATATATATCCTTCAATTCCGGATAGGCAGAATAAAGGTAAAGGTTCCCTTCGCACATATGTGCTGGTCATTCCTGACTCTAGAGGGCGGTGCTCATCTCAGTTTCAAAGCTGAAGAGCCAGTGCTGTCGAAAGACGTTTCTGTGGTCATGTAGCCCGTGTACTAAATGCCGTGGCCATGTGGCCAGCATGACTAAACGCAGGGACATGATGGCTCACAGGGATGCGGTGGCTCAGTGGCTAAGACACTGAGCTTGTTGATCAGAAAGGTTGGCAGTTCGAATCCCTAGTGCCACTTAACAGAGTGAGCTCCCGTTACTTGTCCCAGCTTCTGCCAACCTAGCAGTTCAAAAGCATGTAAAAATGCAAGTAGAAAAATAGGAACCATCTTTGATGGGAAGGTAACAGTATTCTGTGCACTTTCGGCGTTTAGTCATGCCGGCAGTATACATATGAGCAAAATAAAAAATAAAAAAAATCCCAAAGTTCATTTGTGTGAATATAGGTAAAAGTTATGTTTTATTATACTTACACCCTCCTATACTGATCTTTTGGTAGTTTTTACAGGAATACTTAACACCTTAGCAAATTGAAACGCCAGCGTCTTTTGAAAAATGACATTTTAAGCAACTTTAATTTGTTTCTATTTGTGGAAGAAGGAAATTTCAACTGCTCTTAATTTCGACACAAAACCAAAGTGTAGGTTTTGTTATATGGAAAGATTCATTAAAACTAGTGAAGTAGGGGGCTGCTTGATATAGAATTATACATATCTAGATTTGGAAATATCTGAGAGTTTCATGAGAAGAATGAAATGAGCTTTGTGACACAAGCTCCTGTTCTTATCTATTCTGAAATCAAGTGTGTGGAACTTGCATTGGAACACTGTACGTGTTTTCCCATTTACCCTAATTTATATTCTCCACCCAACCTCAGAATATTTGGCAAATCTAAAAATTATGAAACCGTAACCAAGTAGATTTAACATATTGTAACAGACTTACACGTAAGCAAAGAACCAGGTTTAAGGCTGTATTAGTCTAGCACAAGAGATTTATGCGAGAGTTATGCAAATCACTTGGCAAGAGTATAAGAGAAATGCTACTCCAAGAAGAGTTTAGGCAATAACTTCCTCTGAAAGGCTTGATTTAGCACTTCCACATGATTATTTGCCCATGTGTCTAAGATACTTTCACCTGGATGCCCATTCCCTTTTTACAAAATGCTTACCGAAGCTAAATGCATTTGGGATAACACATTCCACTTTTGATATTGGATGTAGTTTCACAATAATACAAGCACATTCTTCAGAGCTGGCACTTTTAATTCCAGTAGCCATATATCCATGATCTGAGGAAATTCGGATTTTGTGGATGAAAGAATTTTCAAATGGTAGCGCTTCTGTGCTAAGTAATGCTTCGTAGTTCTCTTCATCTACAATACATAAAACAGTCATGTTAAAATGGAAGAATTAGTGCAAAGAATCATCAATTTTTCTGCTATCCCGCTGAATATGTCTATAGATGTAATATTTTGTGATTAATTTGTATATACAGACCTTGATTGTGCTAAAGTTACTCAAATTCAATGCTATGAATTTATGACTAATTTCTCACTGCTTTAATGGATGTGGATTGATTGATTGAGCCAAGATGATATTGATTCTTAGCAACCACATCAATTTTCTCCATTAATCAACTGTGATGGATGGACCTTAATCACAGTGAAATGGGCAAGACTGTGGTTATATACTTGTTATTTTGAAAATTCTACTTTACATTTTGTGCAAAAAATGAAAACAAAGAAACTGTTTTTGAATGTATTTTATTCCCTAATCACATCCAAATATATTGGCAAAGTCATGGAAGAGATATGACTCCACTTTTTAAAAAGATGGCACAAAATTAATTGGTTATTTTAAGTACATTTTTCCCATGCTATTTATTTTTTAAAAATAAAATAGCCACTAAAATGGTATGTGTGTGGTATATGCTTATATAACTGGCTGGCTGAGGGATTCTGGGAGTTGAAGTGCATACATCTTTTTTTTAAAAACCAATTTTTATTTATTTTTGAACAAAGACAAACAAACATAAAAATAAAAAGGCCATCTTCCATTACAAATTGTAGAAAGTGTGTCAGTTGGTTACAGTATTTCCATGCATCTCTTGGTTTGGTTTGGTTTATTAGATTTATATGCCAGCCTTCTCCCAAGGACTCAGGGCGATGTACAACATTAAAAAGAAAAGTTATATTACGAAAGTTAAAAAGAATTAAATAGAATATCCCAAACAAACCCAATTAGAATTAACAATAACATTTTTTTAAAAAAATCAATTAAAATTAACAATGATCAGGCCGGCTTGCTGGAAAAGCCAACTTTTTAGGGTGCGTCGGAAGGACTGGAGGTCGGGGATTATACGAAGCTCCGGGGCAGCCCATTCCAGAGGGAAGGGGCTCCCACAGAGAAGGCTCTCCCCCTGGGGGTTGCTAGCCGACACTGTCTG